TTATTATATTAAACTTGTAAATGTAGTTGTTTAATAAACAATCAATATTAGTTACCTTGACTTTAATAAATAATGTAAACCACAACAAACCATGTTTTTAATTTAATTGTTAAAAGTATTATATTATAAATTATCATTAAATAAACTAATAATAAGCAAAACTAATGTATAGATCGCTATACATTATAGCAGTATTTAGTATCGCAGTGTCGGGTGGGGTGGCTATAAATCATGGCACAGGTATGTAGAGTATCCAGGGATAATAATGTTTTTAAAAAACTAGTTAAAGACTTTTATTTATATCCACAAATACTTTATCACTTATTAAAATTTTTTTACTAATTTATTAATCAATAAATAAGTTATTTTTTAAAATATAAATTAAATTTCTTAATTTATTCTGGACACATTTATTTTACTCATATGCCTATAGATTGCAATCCAAACAAAAGCGTACCTACGTTGACAGCACCGGTAGGTGCATTATTAATTACTAGACCAGTAAATGAATTAAGAGGAAAGACATGCGAATGGATCATAAATGCCAACGACTCTGACCCGGATATGTTACATCTGGACATACAGTCCGTGCGTTTGGGAGGGAATGACTTATTGCGAGTCACGACACATAACACCCGAACCCTATTGTATGAACACTTCGGACAGTTGTCTCCGGGGGTTATACTCATCACTACCCGACATAAAGTGGTTCGGGTTGTGCTCACCCTATCACCGGACAGGGATGTGGACAGGGAGTGGGATGTCGGCTATAACACCAAAGATCTGAGCGCACAGTTTACCCGTATTGACAGCGCCGGTAGTTTCGTATTCCCCTACTATCACAAGGACATGGATTTGAAAGGAAATGGATTAGACTTTAATCTACTGTTTGAGGCCAAGTCTGACACCAAGAAGTTGTTGATGAATGTGGCGGACAGTGATTTGAATGGAGGGACAGTTAGCTTCCGGTTTGTGGACAAGTACTCGGAGCTCAACCTATTTGACGCAAATCATACGAAACCAGAGTTTTTGCTCTCAAAGGGACAGCAAATCCTGGTTATGGTCCGCGGGTTCCGGAAATCTGACACAAATCCCGGGAATGCCTTACGTTTGGACTACGAAATGGTTAACTCCCGGTGCAGTCAGTATGAGCTAGTAAGTCACATTTATGTAAATGTCTTATAAGCTGTAATAAATATAATAAGTATATTTATCGAATATAATATTAAAATTACTATTTAGCTCTGGAATAAAAATATATTAAAATTATTTGTTTTTATTTTAAGGGTACTATTTAATACAAATATAATTTATTTATTTAATTATAATATTGTATATGAAGTTTTTATTTTATTTTAAAATTTCAACATGACACTTAATAAGTATTAATATATTTACTGAAGCATTGTATAGTACAAATTATTAAGTAATTAAGTGGATACATACAATATATCAGCTAGTAAGTCTCATTTATGAAAATGGCTTAAGTTTATAAACTGTAACAATAAATATAATAAGTATAATAATTCAATATAATATCAAAATATTCAATTTAATATGCTGAAAGAAAGAGAGTAATACTAAATTCAATTATTTTATATTTTGAAAAGTATTATTTAATTCAATTCTATTTACTTCATTGTAATTATGCATTGTATATTAAGTTTAAATTTTATTTAAAAATTTCAGCATGAAACTTAATATGTATTAATGTATTTACCGATATACGAAATAAATGATTGTATAGTGCAAGCTATTAACTAATTAACTACATATAGTATGTCCTATTTATGAAAATGTTTTATAAACTGTAAAATTAAATATACTAAGTATAATAATCAAATATAATATCAAAATTGCTATTTAAATTTGGTTAACAATAATCAGATTATTTTATTTTTAAATATAACTTTCGCAATCAGAATAGTATAATGACTATTCAATGTAACTTGATTTTTTAATTAATAATCATTACTTTTAAAATAGTTACAAGATATTGATAGTCCCACCATGGTCAATATGCAATTACCGACTGAAACAGACCTACAAAAATTAACCAGCTATAAATGCGTGAACATAGTTGAGCATAAATATGAACAAGCAAAACTGTTACTCGAATTGACACATTTCTCACAATTCATAAACACCGGGGATATTATGCGCGTATTGGACGGCATATCCCGGGATTCCCAACCCATGGCTGTTATTGAGACCCAACTGTTGAACACGTATTGGAGGCATAAGTACTTGTATTCGACGGCAAACCGGTTGTGGATATCGTATGAATCACAACATGTGGTCAATACGAGCCAATCCAAGGGTAACGTCATTGGCGTCCGATCAATATCCCAAGGTATTTGATATATTTGTATCTAGGTTATATTTTATAGATGTGATTATTTATTTCTAGGCGGGAACTACCGTTTCAATGAGACGACATCCCTTATGGCACTGGAACTCAACACTAAGACTAAGCCTCTATTGCCTATTGTATACACATTTGATGCCGATATTGGCTATCAATTAGTGGTTGACTTTAAGGACAATCAAATACCACCGGGAAATGGATCCCTTCTAAAAGTCTACGATAACACCGACCGGACATATGGACAGTCACTCATCGACCTACAGTCCCAGACATACCCCTATGTCTATGACTACGCTATCGCTTCAAACACCAATCAATTGATGCTCAAGATCTCTCAATGGGTTGACATTAAGCTAACTGTCCGTAAGTTTGTGGCTAATGGTTGTAATGCCACAGCCGGGGACAGGTATACCAGTTATAGTGTGTCCGGTAGTTGTCAGCCATTGTGCTCGTGGCTCATCCCTGGCCGGCCTAATACCACCGGCACCCGTATCCTACACTTCAGTCAACTCTCGATGGATATGCCTAACGATTATGTCGAGTTGGTCAGAGTGCGTGATAATCTTACCAAGCTACTCGTTGTTCAAGGTAATAGTAACCATAATACCTTTTGCATTTTAAACACTAATTTTTTTTATTACAAATAGGGGTGACCAGGTTACCTGATATAATGATACAATCTAATGAGACCCATGTGTTAACTACTAAACGACAATGCTCAAATAAAACCACGGAGCAAGGCCAATTTTTGGTTGCATCGGTATCAAACTTGGCCAGGGACGTGACCACCAGTATCATCAAGGTTAATGATACCGTTTCGACAGTTAAATTGCAAACGTACAACTTTCCGGATAGTTATCCCATAGTAACAAACTTTGCATGGGAAGTTATTAGCACAAACTACACGGCGGTGGATAGGTGCCTGGTTACTTTCAATAATTTAACCATGTACCCTAACGATCAATTTAGGATTGCGAGCAGGGACAAATCGGTGCAGCTACAAAATGTAGCTAGCTTATCGAGCGATATGGTTCTGACATTGCCATTTTGGGCTAAACTTAATGCTTACCTAGTGGCTCAAGTGTACCCGGGCAAGTTAGACCTTGCTGGTGTCAGCGCTACACTAACCCCATTAAAATGCGGCGGTGAGTACCAAGTACAAACTGGAAACCCGCTGATTATACATATGCCTGATTATATAATTGGCAACGCGTACCGGTGCTTATGGAAAGTTACCGCTGCTAAGGATTATCCATATTACCAAGATAACAATCTGGAGTTTGTAATACATTCACCACAATTCTCGTCCACTGGTGGCTACTTAAACGTATACGATACTAATTCAATACGCGATAAAAGCAGGATAATTTATGGCTATGGCTACGATTTTCATGGTAAACACAAAAGTTCAACAAACACCATGATAATCGAGTATACCGTGGCCGAATCTGGATTGAATAATATCTATTTAAATGTCACTACTATTGGTAACGCTAATAAGTTCATCGTTAATTATTATAACGTTATAATTTATAAATTTTAATAATTGTTTTTTAATCACCTACAGGGTGTGCCACAATGTGCAATAATCAGGAACGGTGCCTATTAAAGCGGTTTAAGTGCAATGGACAAAACGACTGTGGTGATTGGTCGGATGAGAGGTATTGTGACACGCCACAACCAGAACCAACACCTCGGACAATTTATGTGCACACTGGAGGTTAGCGCAATAAACAATAGTTCAAATATATATATCAAGATTTATTTCTCAAAAATAATACATAATACAATATTTGATAAATTATAATAAAATTATATTGTTTATACACAATATTTTAGTAAGTGGTTGGATAGTGGTCGGGGTGATCGTCACACTGTCAATGGCGGGAATAGTGGTGTGGGTTGTGGTACGGGTGGCTCGTAAAAGGGGCTTTGGCTACGCCACACATATTGATGGCGAATGAGATATTATACGATAAAATTTGACCAGACACAATTTTAAAATCTGGTTCACATTATAATATTGGCAACATTGCTATGCTTACATAAGCATGCATGACAAATTATTTTTCAGAATAATAAACTATTCTTTAAAACTAATTTATGTAAAGTTATACTGATACGTTGTGTTTATCATTTAGTATCATAATGAAATAAGTTTTATTTATTTATAATTTATTTCATATATTATTGTGTTAGACTAGACATAATTAAATAAATACCTATCAATGCGTACGTATTTAATGAATACCTTTTTTTTATTGATTTACTTTGTGTTTGTCTTTAAGTATAAAATATACTGTATTTCTATAACTAAAAACCTAAAGGTTTTACTTATTAATAAAATATAACCATTTGAACCAATAACTGAAAATTATATATTTATCAATTATTAACACATATTGACACACATATTAATTAAATTATTAACATAACATATCAATAATTATAAAATTAATTTTAATTTATTTTAAATTGTATAAATATTTTTTTTTAATTAAAAAAAATCTTATTTAAAATTATACATAACTTGAAATGTTTTGATGAATACAACTAAATTTCAAATGGATTTAATAATTAAATTAACATTTTTGCCATATATGATTTATCAATTTTTAATCC